AATTTCCGAGGCTTGCATACAATAAGTGCATATCTCATTTAGCGATAGATCACGGTATAGGGATAAACGCAGCCGGTCTGAGCTTGCTGAGATAAAAAAAAACATCACTCCCTCACCTCTACAGTTCATGTCCCTTTTCCTGTACCTACCCATCTCTCTTCGCACGCGGACCCGGATCAACATCGATAAACGCGACCCTCGATCCTTTGCGACGAACCAGCAACACAGCCAGTCCTGGCTTGCGTCGGCTTCTCTGTTTCATTCCTTCATTTTGACCTCTACTTGATTGTTTATCCATTCGCCAGGCTGCGTCTGCCTGGTTGTCGTCGTTTCTCGCATCTCGCATCTCGCCTCTCGCCCCGGATTCCTCGCGACAATTGACTGCTCTTCTATAATCAGTAGTTCTTGGGGGGAATAGAAGAAAGTACTGCGCGTGGTGGAGAAATACAATTCATTGGGGGTTTGATGAGGAAGATGCATTGAGCCTTTCCGGAATACTACAGTCGCTTGCAGTTGTGGCAGGTCTTAGCATTGGCAGCGACGCATCGCGAGAGGAGGTCATTGAGCCTCGGTGCTTCACATCTCCTGGCGAAGACAGTGTTGCATGGACGGCGTTCTGTCCTCTTCCGCCTTTGTGACGGCTTTCGATTCTGAACAACGCAAGTCCCCCACTCGGCAAAACAACATCGTCCTGAAAGCCGCGCCGGAAAAGCCCTTGCTTTGCGGGCCTTTTCAGAACTAGCTGGCTCTCCCTCATAACATATTTTCTATTCTTGATCTGTATACTCTCAATAATACAATCATGTCTTCCTACTCTGAGTCTGAGGCGGTGGCTAAGGACTTTCGCGAGGCTCTTGAGGATATACAGACAATCGGCCGGCCAGAAATCTCTAATCTGACAATCATTGCTCGCGAGAACATCGAGCATGCTCTCGCCATCTCCGGCGCTTTAGTCGAACACATCAAACGAGTACGTAGCATGAACCGCCTTGTGCGAGAGTACCAACTACGACGCGGTTTTGTTTCATTCCGTTTTGCCCCGTTTTTATTCGTCGGTCCAGAGTCGTCCGCGAGGTTGAGCTGTTATTCTAACGTCGATATTGGTTTCCTGGCTAACGTGATTCTCTAGGCTGCGCCGCATAAGAAGCTCCCGCCGCTATACGTTCTCGATTCCATCGCAAAGAATGTCGGGACGCCGTACACGCTATTTTTCAGCCGTAAGCTGTATCAGACATACATGGACGCGTATGCCATGGTCGATATGGCGACTAGGAGAAAGCTAGAAGAAATGCTTAAGACCTGGAAAGAACCTGTCCCTGGTTCGATCGACACCAGACCCGTGTTCCCCCCGGAGGTTGTGCGTCCAATCGAGAATGCGCTTATCAAAGTAAGAACGACAACGCTTCAACAAGATCAAGAGAGAATGAGAAGCCAGCAACAGTTGTACGGCCGAGGTAGGCCTGTTCCAGGAGTGCCATATCGAGAAACACCTACGCCACCAGGTGCTCGACCCCCTCAGCTCCATCCATATTCTCTTCAGGCCTCCATACAGCATTCCAACGGAGTTCCTTACAACCAATCGGCTCAGCCACCACCAAATAACTACTCCTCCCAACCCGTAAGTTCTCTGTGCATAGGACAAGTAGAACCAGGCTGACTAACGTGATATTTAGGCTGCGTCAACCGCTCCCTCGAGGTCTACACCGCAACCCCCTTCATCAAGTGCTTTCCAGCCTCCTCATGTGGGAGGATATGGCATGGCGCAACGTGGGATCAGCATAGATGCATTAAATGATGATATTCAGAGACTAACCGCGGCCTTCAAAGCCCAACTCGCCAACACTCCGCATGATCCTATTATACAAACTAAGCTGAAGGCATTGATGGACTTGCAAAATATTTTACAAACACATAATCTGCCCCAGGAGCAGTTAGTGCTTGTTAAGAATCAAATTGCTGATCTTGCTGTGAACATAAGGGCATCTCCTGCCCAAACTACTACACCCGTATCACTACCAAACTCCGTAGCAGTAGCCCCCTCGTCGATCGCGGCACCAAAGGTATCTTTAGATTCCTTGTTTGGTTCGGGTGCTCTAGCCGCCATAATGGCTCGGAATTCTGCCGCGGCACAAGTACCTGCACCTCAACCACCTGCTGCACCCCCTGTTCGGTCACCGCCTCCGCAAATCGCGGAGCCTCAGAAAGCAGCAACAGCGCCGGCCGATCCTATGGCACTTGTGAACATGTTGAGACAAGCAGGTATGCTGCCACCGGCCATGTCAGCAACCGGCACAACTCCCGCAGGGAGCTCGACGGCTCAAACGGCTTTGCCATTCCCCCTCCCTTTTTCGGGGATGACTAAGAACATTCAACCAACACCGCCCGGAACGATTGAAGGTCTTACAAGTGATATTTTACTGAAAGCATCGTCTTTGAAGCAGTATGTACTACTTGCAAACATAACGCAGTTGAAATAACTGATCACGCAGTAGATTTCGTCCACAGTTGCTTCCGCTTCTCTTCGAAGCTCAAGGTCCTCAATGCACGCAATGCGGGCGTCGGTTTCCAACCAGTGAGGAAGGCAAGAAGAGGAAAACTGCACATATGGATTGGCATTTCCGTGTCAATCAACGTAGCAATGATACCGAAAAGCGAGGACTACACCGTAGTTGGCTCGTCGATGAGATGGTAAGGATTCATACTAACATCATTCACTCTAGTGAAGTATGCTGACAGTGACAGGATTGGATTAACACGCGGGAGACGATTGACAAAGACCACGCTGTGCAGACGGGTGACGTTGATGCAGCTTCGGGCGGCTCGGCTACGAAAGCACCTAAGACTCAATACATACCCGTCCCGGACGACCCCATATTGGCAGCCGGGGTATGTCCGATCTGCCAGGAGAAGTTTGAGACTAGATGGCTAGACGACGCACAGGAGTTCGTGTGGGCCGATGCGATCAAGGTTGGCGACCGGATCTATCATGCTAGTTGCCACCGAGAGGCGTTTAAAGATGGAGGTGGAACACCCATGCATACCCGCAATACGCCCGAGCCAATATTGGGCAAGCGGAAGGCTGAAGTAAGTTCGCTAGCTCGGGAGCCCCCTGGCCCCTGGCTTAGGGTATCATGGCTTATGACTAACATGTTTCGTTCCAAGCAGGATGATCTTGTCTCTCTACGAGGTAAGATGAAAGTGGAAGCGGTATAAAATCCCGGATCCTGTTCTAAGTGAGATGCCTCTAAGACGGCATAAGGACTTAGTCCTGATCTCACGTATCACCAATTCGGCACGCAGTCTCAGTGCCGTATCATGAAAGAAATGATCGACTAGTTTTACCGCTCTACTTACAGCGGCGAGAAGTAGAGGCATTTGCATCACGTCTGGCGTTGCGGCACCCTTGTCATTAAGGGAGGGAATAAAACTCTTCATTCGGACGGCGTAGGGGGTGAGGGTTAGGATAGAGCTTAAAGTGTCCCGATGATGATCTTGGGGGGGTGATCCAATTAGGGTAAACGGTACCTCGCCGAATACCTTCTCAAGCAATAGGTAGTTGGGGTATGCTTTTGAGCTATTTACGAGTCTAATAAACAGACCATGCCGACTCATGTTGGTCATCGATGAGCAGCCGTCATCTCTTTCTGTGTGTGAAAGTTCTTATACTTCTGTTGTATTTGTTTCGGGCCTTTCTAATGAGAATCCGCCATAAGTTAGGTACCTTAGGTACCAGTTATTAACCATCCCAAATCCTCGGATTGAAATTGAAGCACTCATACTCGCATCGCTTGTCTTTGTTTCCATAAGGTTCATTGGACCCTATGAATTCATCATAACGGGAGTTCCGCGCATGTTGTCATTCTCTTGCTATTTTCAGTTACCTCACCTACCGCGGGCATCCGATATCTGGGGGACGCCTGAGACTTGAAGCAAATACCTAGGTACACACGGCTTACACCCATACCAACAGAAACACAGGAACCAACAATTACAAAAGGAGAAGATCGACCCGGGAGGAGGAAAAAAGGAACGAATGGGAATCGAACCCATGGCCTATTGAACTGCAATCAATTGCTCTACCGCTGAGCTATCATTCCAGGTTGGTGTTTGCGTCTGCAAAAAACGCCATTATGATGGCAAAAAGAGGAACGAATGGGAATTGAACCCATGACCTATTGAACTGCAGTCAATTGCTCTACCACTGAGCTACCATTCCAGGTGATTAGTGGCTGCCGTTCGCAATTTGCCGCGCTATAATCCGGACGGACGGGCGGGACCTCCATCTATCGGACCGGCATGCCGACGCCATGACTGGCACCAATCCTTATTTGTATACGAGTCATTCTCTGCGCAGTTGTTTTCAACGCGGTTGTAGGTTTTGGTCGCTAGGTTCACGGTGCCCTCGAGTTCGGAAGCTCACAGTAAATCGTCTGCAATAAGACGACGGCCATCGAGGTGTATAAGACAACCAGCTTGGCAAAGGCTGCGATTGTGGTTCTGCCCCGTATACTGTCCGCGTGGACTACATAGTAATACCGGCGGTTCTCAAGCCACTCTATTCCACCTGCTTGCCTACCTATTCTAATCTAACTCAGAATTCACACATATAAGAAGCAGACAGAACCCCGAGTTGTGCGCGGGATCCCTTTTGCTATGCCAGGCCGGGACTCTCAAGTCATGGAAGCCAACCTCGCCGCCACTAAGCGCACCTGGACGGCCGCAGTGGTCAGTCGTCCTACGTTTTCTCATGGAACATCGGGATGGCTACCTTTGGGCTGGGAGTTCTCCTACGATCGATCCCAATCGATGAAATATACAGCGAATGTGACTTGTGCTGTCTTGGTGCAGTTGGTCATACTGGGCCTGTTTCTAATTATTAACGAGGACATGTTCCGATATTTATTCCCCTAACATCACAGGCCAAGTTGACGCGAGGCTTTTGACGAACCGCGAAGGTGCCATTCGAGGCAGCCTTCCCCTGAATACGGATTTCCTTTCCACGTCCCATTAGCAAGAAAGGCAGGATTAACATAGACGCCATGTCATTCAGAACAACGCCCAGTCTCATACAAGGTCACTATATTCTACATCGGGAGGAAGCCAACCTCGGATCGCTGGTCCTCACACACTATATACATACATTACTATTTCCCAGATATTACATTACACACTAACCCCCCACCACGACTTCTTCGTACACAATAACGTTCTCGACGCCCTTGTCATCGATGAAATGTTGCTCCTTTCTCTTCGGTGGCTTCTTGCGCGGTTTCTGGGGCATTTTGACCCATTCCTTGAGCTCGGGGGTCCAGCGATGTCTTTTCGTCCATGAGCATTCCAGTCAGCTAAGCCTGGATCCTTGAAACGAGACGATAATTTACAATTGACAGCAAGGCAAGGCAAACAGGAGTCGCGAAGGATTCCAAAAAGAAGAGAGAGACATCTAACGAGAGGATAGTACCGGGGGGAGAAGGAGACTTACCCAGCCCATTCCGTGGTAACAAGACTCTTGGTCCCATATTCGTCCGTCAGGACCTTATCGAACTCGTAGGGTATCCACGCCTCGACGCCCTCGAACTCCGTCCGCCGCAACGGCCAGAGCTCCGCCGTGCGGTAGCGGTGGTTATTCTTACAGCTCCAGATACCCGGGAAGCGCTCGACGTTACGCTCCCGCAGGCCCGTGATGTCGATGAACATGCCGTTGCTCGTGTCGATCCAGCGGGCGTCGATGACGTTGGCGCCGTTGCCCTTGGTCAGGGCGATGTAATGCGGGTTGATGTCGAGGAGATACGCCTTTTTCACCTTGGTGTTTACCCCTTCGCTGCTATTGCTACTGCTCTTATCGACATCGACATCGAGATCGCCGTCCACATCGACGTCGTAGTCGTACTCGTACTCGTGGATGCTCCGGTTATACCGCTCCCCCAGGAACGACAACGTCGCCACGCTGACTTGCACGTCGAGGTCGTAATCCCACGGCATGATGCGCCCGTTCCACCACCACCCCAGCAGCGAGCCGTGCGCCAGCCACGTCTCGACCCCCAGCTCCTTAAACGTCGTCAGGTACGACCGGATGAGGTGCCGCAGCGCCGGCCGGTGCTGCTCGTACGGGACCTTGCCCCGGAAGTACCGCGCGTCGTAGTGGCCGCTCTCGGCATCCCAGCCGGGCTCATGGAAGTATTTCTGCTCATGCGACCCGGACTTGGCTGGCTTTTTCTCCTTGCCGCCCTTGTTTTTCGCTGCTGCTGCTCTTGGTATTTCCGCCTTGTCCGCCTTCTGTATTGCTCTTGGCTCCAGCGCTGCTGCGTCCGGTTCTTTCCCTAACACCGTTGCTATCGCGGGCGCCGAGCCCATCAGGGCGAGCAGGAGGAATGGGTTGAGGATCCGCATGGCCCTGGGTCTCGGCGGCTGAAACGAAGATGGTCTCTTGGGGGTTACGGCCTCTGTTCATAAGGAGTTCTCAAGTATACAACGATCCATAGGGGTATGCATACTAGGTATATACAGATGAAGAGACCAGATCGTCGGACTGGTGGTATATTTGACTCATCATGTGTAAGATAGTGTTCATTGACGGGATAGTGAGAGGTGGCATGGTCCGTAGGTTACGTATTATTATAGACACGGGGCGCGGCCACCGGCAAGGAATTTGAGTGCGCGAGTACATGAGGTGGTTGTGCCCTCACGCCATGCCCTATAACCATGGACATCCTTGATTCCATGGTTTGCCTCGATGAACGACCTGGTCACGAGGGCTCAGCAGGGTTATTTTCCGGCTGGCCGGTATACTCATTACGCGGCGGCGTGGGGACGACGTAAGCTCCCGCGCAGTAGCCAGGGATGTTACTCAGTCGTTTAGGGGCTTGGGGAACAGAGTTCACGCCCGCGTAGTCCGAAAGAGAACGCCGGCTGGCTAGAAGGAGTCTTTAAGAGAGCTAGCTATTATGGGACACGGCAATGATGTATATATTCTTAGGCAGAGCCGCGGTCTAAATGGCTCCCAGAATATGCTAGTAGGGATGGTCGTGGAATAGGCGGCCGACGCATTGATATGCTCCGGTATCCTCGGGTTATTGTTGCTCTAGGCATGGCCCCGGCCTAGTATATATCAGGCAATTGTCAACGTGACTCAAACCATCCTCTCCGAGCAGAACCTAAACGATACGGGACGGGGTAGTAGGCATAGATGCAGTTCTCGCCAGCCCCGAAGCGGGAAGGGAAAAGACAGAGCCATCCCCTTTAAATATATAAATATGGAAAAGGGAAAAAGACATGAATAATCCCCTCTATATGGATCTACCGGACCCAAGAGCAGTCCGTATAGCTGCCACAACACAAGTCATAGTTGCATATGCATGCGTCACCGCACCGCACGACAGCGAGAAGCCGACAACGATATGATGACTTCCGAAGGATCAGTTGCGAATTCTATCCTGTCAGCACAAAAAGGAAAGGGGGGCGGTATATTTCGCTCGGATACCGGCCTGATGACTTAGAAAACGAATAACGTTTCCCACTACGTTTGCAACAAGAGTAGACATGAGTTAACTTTTGGTTTTCATTCTTTCTGCCTCTTTATATGAATTATGTGATGACTCTCGTAGTCCGGCTCGGGGATTTCGGATATATTCATGGAGCGGTGCTGGTGGGACCTTTCCGAGAATATCCTTCAAAGTCGCGCCGTAGCTCGCGATGATCTCGAATTACACTAGCCCGAGATGTGGAGCGACAGTGGGTAGAAGTCGTGTAAGAGAGTCGCCGTCGAGCCCGCGCCTAGTTTACCTGTAATTGTAAAGCACAGCCCCATGCAATGGGACAGCAGTCTTCGTATGTCCGGTCTTATTATATAGCACTCTTATCCTACCGACGAAGCAAAATCCCACACTACGAAACCGAGATGGCAAGCCTCAGCCCAATAAGAAAGACATCATATCGTTTCCCTAATTTCGCCACGTACCCTCGAAAACCTTAGTCCGATAACAATGCATTATCGATCTTGATACCGAATGTTCCGTACTGAGATCACTGACGACTATTTCCCTCGACTACCTTAGTATCTAGCGCCTTTTAGCTCTCGTTGCTGGTGCCGACTCAAAAGGGTCGTCGGATATCTCATCATCGCTAATTTCCAGGGGCTGTTGCTGAGATTGCTTCTGCGAAAAGTTCAATCTGGTCTGTCTGGTCTTTGGCGCCGAAGCGGCAGCTCGTGAAGAAGTTTGCGATCGAGAGGTCTGTGATCGTGATGTCGTAGCTTTGGTCGTTGCAGTGCGTTTTGGTGGTGGAGCGGGCGGGTCATAATTGTCATCATCCATGAAAACGTCTTCATCTTCGTTTTCTTCCTCAACTTGCTTGCGGCCGCGAGCGCCTCCCTTGGTAGTTGTCTTCTTAGCTGGGGCCTTTGGAGCGGCTCTGGCTTTGGGGGCAGCTTTGGGTCGCCCCCTGGTTTTAGTTGGAACTTCCTCCTCTTCTTCTGCGACATCATTCATCTCCTCGTCGTCATCATCGTCGTTAATAAACCCTGCACGTGCAGGATTGCGTCCCCGTTGTCGATTTTGTGTAGGTTTTTCTGGTGCCTTCTCCTGTGTTACTGGTGTATGATCGATAGCATCGGGTTGATCCTCCCAATGGCCATCTAGATCAGAATCCCAGTCGTCTGGCTTCGGTTTGTATATGCGTCTTGGGCCTCGTTTCAATTGCCCTGTGACAAATTGGACTTCGAGTTTCTTCTTGATCTTCTCCATCGCATCTTCAAGGTCTTCGTCACTTTCGTCCAGTGACAACATCTGCTTGACCTGGCCAGATAGGGAATCGATGACAAATTGTTCCATAGCATGCTTGTCGTCCTTGTCGACAAATTGTGTCACTGCATCGCCAAACGGCGCCTGTGGGAGTATCTTTAGAGATTGGGCTTTTAAATATTCTTCCACCAGCTTTGCCACTTTGACACTATCCATCTCGGCGAGACTAGTGGCGACATCCTCAGGCAGAGCATCAGTAGTAGCCCGTTCTATTTTGAATATTAGCAGGGAGAGTAAGTTCCAAAATCGGCGTATCACGTACTTTGCACCGTCTTCTTTCGATAAAAGTGAACCACGTC